TTCTCCAGGGCGCTGATTCCAGCGGAGGCATTCTCCAGGGCGCTGATTCCAGCGGAGGCATCCCCCCGCACGCCCAGGTCGTGCTTGAAGCGCGCGGGCAAGCCGTGGATCTCCGTGGACATGAGCCCCGGGAACTGGGCCTTCAACGCGTGCTCGAGCCGGCGGAAGTCCGAGTAGCGGCGCGCCACGAAGTGCGAGCGGTAGCTGGCGCGGCCCGCGTGCACCGTGCGGCGGGTCACCTGGAGCACGAAGCGGCAGCGCCCGGTGGGCGGGGCCTTGCGCGCGGGCGCCACGAGGCGGAGCAGGCTGAGCGCCCAGGCCACGCGGCCGGGCGGCGGCGCGTCCGCGTCCACGTCCACGGCCACGATGTTGACGCAGTAGTTGTTGGTGTACGTCATCTTCAGGTAGTCCGCGAGCCCGGCCGGCGCGTGGAACGCGGCGAGCGGCACCGTGACGGGCGCCGGCGCGCGCGCGAGCTTGTCGAGCTTGCCCTGGTCCGACGGCCTCAAGCGGGCCGCCAGCAAGTACGCGAGCTCGCGGCGCAGGCTGAGCATGGAGTTGTAGAAGAGGAGGAGCGAGCGCAGGAGCTGGCGGTTGGCCTGGCGGCGCTTGGTGCGGTGGCCCTTGCGGCGCGCCGCGCCCAGCACGTGCTTGGCGTTGAAGCTGTCCACAAACGGCTGCACGGTGTCCCGCCAGAACGCGGTCTGGTCGGTGTGCGGGTTCATGGCAATGAACGGGAACGAGGCCACGAAGCGGGCAAAGAAAAACCGCAAGAGCGGCACGGGCGCCGGCGGCTCACGTGCGGGCGCGGGCGCGGGGCGGAACGGCGGCCCTAGGCACGCGAGCCCGGCCGGGTTCAGGAATTCCTGGAGCTCTTTTTGGAGACACGCCTCCACGAGGAACTTCTTGAGGAAGTGCTCCTGCGTGGGGCTCAAGGCGCCGACGAACGCGAGGGCCGGGGGCATTTTCGGGCGCCGGAGACGGTGGCGGCGGTGTGCGGCGGCGAAAACGGCGCGTGGCGGCGGTGGCGGCGCGTGGGGCGGGGCCTGGAAAGTGTTTTGTAGAAAAAAGAGGGGGTACTTGGAGGTGTTTTTTTTGTGCGCCGGGCGAAATCCGGGGCAGCCGCGCGCACGCGTGCTTGTTGTTGCTGTGGCTCTGGAGGGAGTGGCTTGGGGGTGGGGCCTTGTGATGTGGCTTTGTGGATTTTTGGGCGGGATGTGCTGTGGGTTTATGGGGTTGTGGGTTTATGGGGTTGTGGGTTTATGGGTTTGTGGGTTAGGTGTTTTTAGGATGGACTGGGTGGTTATGTATTTGGGTGATGTATTATGGTGCGGTGGGCCTTCAGTGCTAATACCCCAGTTCTTGGGGAAGAAAGATGCA